GGAACGAGGCGCAGAGTTTGGGGGCCGTCTGGTCGCGCTTCATCTTGAGAATGTCGATGTCCTGCTGCGCCTTCGCCGCCCTGCCCTCATCCCCGTGCAGTTTGGCCGTCCACGGCAACGTTCCGGTGCCCATTTCCACCTGAAAATCGGGATTCACTGGGTGTCACTGTCCCTTTAAAATAATTTTAACGATTTTTCCCAAATTTTCGCTGACCATAGAGTAGATGAGGGACTGCAGATCCGACGACGGGCCCTGCTCCTTCTTCAGATGCGCGTCGATTGAGGCGTATCTGAATTGGGAAAAAATGGGGAATTCCGCAAATGGTCTTTGCTAGTTGGCACGCCCTCATTTTGAATTTTCACTTCAAGGGTCCTTTAAATGATCAAAATGAAACTAAAAAATTCTTAAAATCTAATTTCGGCAAAGATTTCTGCTAGCTTGCCCTACCCAAGGTTTAAATTCCGAAACATCACTGCCAGCCTGCCCTTCACTGGCTATGGATTCTCGGCTTCACTATTCCTTTAAACTTCTCAAAATTGGGTCCCTGACTTCCTCAAAGTTTTCTGCTAGCTTCCCAATTTTCCCCCAATTTTCCAATTTTCTCCTCCCCCAATAATCTCTGCTAGCCTGCCCTACTTGAACGTGCCGCGGAATTGGGCCATTTTCCGGGGCTTCTTCATCTCGCCGTGCGTCGTCTTGCACTGCCGGGAAATGCCTGCAAAAAATGCCTTTAGGGGCCCTTTAGAATCGAAAAATCGATTTAAAGGGCCGTTGAAGACAAAAGTCCACGAACCAAAATCAAGGAGGTAGATGCGGGACGAGTCGAGTCGCCCGATGCAGCAATTGGCCGGCTTGACGTCGCGGTGCACCCAGCCGGCCTGGTGCACTGCCTCTAAGGCCGAGACGATCTAGAAGCAAATTCCGCAAATGGTCTCTGCTAGCTTGCCAAAGGTTAGGTAAAAATGCGATAGTACGAAAAAAATGTGAATTTTCGACTTTTTCTAGACCTTTTTTCAATTGTTCCAAACCAATTACGCCACCCAATTCCTTAAAGTCTCTGCCAGCCTGTCACCCCACCTTCTTCCCGACCCTAAAAAGGGTTTCCTGGGTGAAATGCCTGGATTTCCGCGCGTTCCTCAGCTCCATCAGGCTCTTCCCGGTCAGCCGCATCACGATGAAGCCACGATCCGTGTGCTCACCGTAGGCCAGGATCTCGGGAACGAACGGCTAAATGGTCTCTGCTAGTTTTCCCTCTTGCCTACCGTCCCTCTCAACTCAGCGAGTGCCTGTATCTCGAGCTTCAGCCTCGCCTTGTCCTTGATGTCCACCTTCACGCACACCTCCTTTTTCGTCGACCGGTCGTAGGCCCTCAAAAGGGGGAATTTCGTTGCGTAATAGGATAAGGAAATTTGTAGCTTAATCTAATATCGAAAAAATGATGGCGTAACAGATTAGGCCAATTTAGCGACGTAACTGGCTAGGGGATTTTGATGGCGTAATCGATTAACCCCCCGTACTTGTAGACCTCGGCCGACCCGCCGAACGAGATCATCTCCCGGATGTCGAATCGATCGATCAACAGCACGCCCCTCTTCATCACGCCCAGCTTCTGCTGCCCCTGCTTCTGCTTTCCTGCAAAAATTCGGCAGGTATTTTGCATTTTCATAGCGTAATTCAATGAGCTAGGTTTCCCCAATGGCCCCTGCTAGCTTGCCAGCTTCCTGGAGGATCGCTGCTAGCGTGCCCGGGTCTCGAAAATGAATTTTGAGCAGGTATTTCAGAATTTCATGGAGTAATTGAATAATCTAGGCTTCCCCGATGGCCTCTGCTAGCCTGCCTTCGTCTCCAAGGATCCCTGCTAGCCTGCCCCGCCTTCCTCAAGGATCTCTGCTAGCCTGCCGACCCTAGAAGATCAATTTTGAGCAGGTATTTCTGAATTTCATAGCGTAATTTATTTGATTTTAGGTAGCTTGCAAGCCAGCCGACCCCAAATGGCTTCTCCTAGCCTGCCCCAGCCTCGAAAATATTGGAATTTGGTGGATTTTCAAGAAGAGACCGTCAGATGAGTCAACTTCCGCCAATGGACCCTGCTAGCCTGCCCCGCACGAATCAATCGATATTTGGGAGGATTGATGGAAGGTGAAGCGAAGCAGTGAGGTACCTTTTGACCGCCTTACTGAAGCTATAAAACATCCAAAAAAACTAGGTCTAGATGAATTTTACGGAGTTTAGGGGCGCTAAAATCTGCGTTTTGCGCGCGCCATGCTGTAGCTCGGGGGTAGATTTAGGCAATTCTGAGGAACAACCTTCCGAGTGACAACTTTGAATGATAACTCATTACCGTACCCCCAGCTACGCTTCTCTTCTCGCCAAAATATAGGCATTTTTTTGTTCTACGCTCTAAAATCTACTTTTTTTGCTTAGCATACTGTAGCTAGGGCGTCAGTCTAGACAATTCTGAAGCGTAAATTCCACTCATCCACTCTTTGCGCCAATCTGGACATTTTACCATAGCCTGGACTGATTTTTGGGGGAGATATTTTACTCGATTTTCTCAAGCTATTTTGCTGAATTTCATGGTCTAACTCACTGCCGTACCTTCCATCTCAAAATTTCGTTTTTACACAACGTTTTACTCCATTCTAGACGATTTTCCATCGCTTTGACTGATTTTTGCGAGGATTTTCGGATTTTAAGCGATTGCGTGGTGTTTTTCCATTACCGGGGGTGAGGGATTTTTTTAAACTCCAGTAATATCTAGACGTAATTGTAGGGATTGAGATTTTTAAATCCGAAATTTCGGTCGTAAATCTGCCATTTCTGATCGAAAAATCGATATCTTTGTGCCTTTTTTAAAATCATAATGTGTCCAGTTTTCGCGTTTAGGGATAATAAAAAACCATTTAAAAACACTTCCACTATCTATATTTGAAAAATTAGCTCTGAAGAAAAAAGTTGGTCCCCCGATAATGCTAAAGCTCCCGATTTTTTCCTGCAGACAATTTTGATAAGTAACCAACTGATTACGTACCCTCGATCTTTGACTTTGCCCCATCCTCCTTCGTGTCCTTCTGCTCCTTCTGCTCCTTCAGCTCCTTCATATCCTTGGGTGCCGGGGATATTCCCCTCCTTCCGCTGACCGGTGTATGCGGCGCCGTCAGCGGCTTCCCGTCGTAATGCTCTTTTTGTCCTCCTGCGTTTGCGCCTCCTACAAAAAAATCAATTGCGCCATGAAAATGGCTAGATCGCAACCAGTTACGACATCTAAAAAGGTGAATTACGACATGTAATCCATGGCTACAAACTCCAACTTACCCCATACGCTGACCGCGTGCGCGTGAAGGCTGGCCTTCTGAAAACGGGGTTTTTCTAAACACTAGTCAATCGATTCCGCCAGCTAAGTAACTGTCAAGTGGTGTACTTTGTAGTCCGGCTAATCGATTACGACGTGTAATATCTGGGAGCAAACCTTGTACTCGTTGCTCTTCGAATGGACCATACTGTAGGAGGGGAGGGAGTGGAATAGTTTTTTGGAGATTTTTCGTAAAATTCCTGTATTCTAATTTTGGGGCAAGCTAGCAAAGAATTGGAGGATTTTATTGATTTTTATTGATTTGAGGAATTGGAGGGACAGGCTAGCAGGGATTCTTAGAGGAGTGGCGAGCTGGCAGTGATTCTTGAGGGAATTGGAGGGGCAGGCTAGCAAGGATTCTTTGAGGAATTTGGGGCGCTAGTAGATATTCTTGAAGAATTTTGAGGGCAGGCTAGCAGAATTCATTTGTTCATATTTTCTACCCCTCGCCTTCTCCCCCTTGTTTATCCTATTTATGCCCTAGGGCTAGTCGGGGTGTCGTGAGGTTTGTGGCGGAATACGATACAATCTGCCCTATTGACCCCTTCCCTTTAATCATCCAGATCTGCCTCTCTCTCTCTCTCTCTCTCTCTCTCTCTCTCTCTCTCTCTCGCCTCCGCTTTTCACAACCTTGACCGATCGGCAACAATCACGTGTGCCCCAAAAAGATATGTACCTTGCAAGCACGTGATCATCGGTCTTTTAGGGCAGGCTAGCAGAAGCGCTTTGTGGAAATGGCCTATTTTTTTAGTTCAATGGTCCTTTAACATGGTTCTAAAGTCGGGCAATAGCTTGTTAGGCTGCTGGCAGAGATTCTGTGCGGAAATTTTGGGCTAATCAAGCTAGCAGTGATTCTTTGGGACAGGCTAGCAGAGGTCGTTTCGGAAACCACTTGCCTTCAATTTTCCTTTAAAACGGATTTTTTTCTTCAATGGGTTGTCTAGCCAGCAGGCAGAGATTCTTTGAGGAAAATTTTGTCTGGGAGAGCTAGCAGAGAATCTTTAGGACTCGATCGGCTGATCGATTAAGCGAGCTATTTTGCCTTCAACGGCCCTTTAAAACGGCTTTAAAGTGTCCAATTGCTCGTCTGAATCTCACTTTGTCGCTTCTCAACATTTTCTGCAATTTTTGTGGCTTCTAGTCTACTGTATCTGTTGCGTAGCGCAGCGTACAGTTGCGTACTATACAGTTTATTACACAGTTTTTGAGTGTTGTTGGGTACTTGAGAAGAGAATAAGCAGAAAAAGGATGGCTTGGCACGAATTGGATTGCAGGTAGAGACTGTAGAATCGATTCGGGACCTGTAGATGTTGAGGATGAGGAGCAGAGGGAGGTAGATGAACAACTTGGACAAGTTGACTTCTAAAATGGGGTTTTTAGGTTGTAAAAAATTAATTGAAGCGCTTCGATGACCTAATTTATTACTCTGGAATGTTTTTCAAGCTTTAATTTCTCGAAAATTTGTAATAAGTAACGATCCAAGGGGCCGAGGGTTCGACCCCGCCCGGCGCCAAAATTTTTGCTTTTTGAAACTAGAGTAGATTTTTGTATTTTAAAGACTTCGGGCTAGTTTCTAGATGCGATTTAACCAATTACGAGCTTAAAATCCAACTTTAAAGGCCCCGCAACCCAAAAACCCTGACCTTAACGGCGAGTTCCGTCCTCGAAGAAGATGCCTCCGTCGATGGCGCAGTACTTGGGGCAGATACCCTTCTCTCCGCCCGATCCAGCGGGTCCGGGGGGTCCAGCCGGACCGACGCCTCCATCGGCTCCGGGGGGTCCATCGGGTCCGGGGGCTCCCTTCGGTCCGGGTGGGCCGGGGGGTCCGTCCTTTCCGGGGGCTCCGGGAGGGCCGGGGGGGTCCAGTGGGTCCTGCAATTTTTAGTTTCTTTAGATTTAGTGATTAATCTCTTTAATCCATGCTGAAATTGCCAATTTTTACCCCTAAAACGCTACCGACTACGCGATGGATGCTCCAAATTCCGTACATTCTGTGGCGAAGCCTACTTAACCCTGAACTGCTTGAAGTCAGTTTTTTTGAGGTATATGGCTAGGCTGGATTGCATATTACAGTATGACCAGCTCAAAATTTTATAAATTACGCGCAACTACAAACTACACGTAATTTTTAGATTTAGCACTACGCGATACACCAGTTTACGTAGTTCCGTCGCAAACGTATCATATCGTACTTTGACGTAATTTTTTGGGCTTCAGTTTTCCCTCTCCTACCTGAGATAGCTGTTGACTACGCGCTCCAATTACTTAGATAGGTACTACATTATGTTCCAAATGACGACATTCCGTCGCTACCGTACTCTTCCGTACTCTAGTAAGATTTTTGAGCCGGATGACTACGCTTTCTACATTTTACAATTCCTGGGGTTTAAAAAGTTGTGAACGACGCTATGTTCCAAATTACGCGTTTCCGTCGCTAGTACTCACTCGTAATACTCCCTTACCTTGATCTCCGGGCTCTCCGGGCTGTCCGGGGGTGAGGGGCTCGCTTTGGGCGGGCACTCCGGGCTCTCCAGCAGGTCCAGGGGCTCCAGCTTCTCCGGGGGGTCCGTTGGGTCCACGGGGTCCGGGGAGTCCAGGCGAGGCGTCGGATCCGGGGCGTCCAGGGGTTCCGGCCTCTCCGGGGTCTCCGGGGGCTCCAGGGGGTCCGGGTGGGCCGGGGGGTCCTGGAAATGGAGTTATACTTTGAGCTTTACTTTGGCTTTAGTTTGCGTAATTTTTAGAGCGTTTTTGGCTTTATTTCTGATGTTCTAGGGGTCGAGGGTTCGAATCTCGGCCGCGACAAACTTTTTGGTTTTTGCTCAAAAAGTCCAGAATGGCGTTTGTAGCCTAGTATGTCTTTCATTTTAGTATTTCGATTCTTTTTGATAGCTTTTTAGCTTTCATTCTGCCGATCTAAGGGTCGAGGGTTCGAACCCCGGCCGCGACAAACTTTTTGCTTTTTTACTCAAAAGGCCCAAAATGGAGTTTGTAGCCTGTATAGCTGCTAATTTAAAGTTTGACTTAGTTTTTAAAGCATTTTTAGCCTTATCTCTATCGCTCTAGGGGTCGAGGGTTCGATCCTCGGCCGCGACAAACTTTTTGCTTTTTGCTTTTTTCGCTCAAAATTTTTTAAAATGATGGGGAAAGGGATTCATTCTGACTAGGAAACAATACATTTTAGCAATTTCTAGCTGAAAATTTAAATTTCAAGCTCGTAGACGTACCCTGGGGGCAAGGCTTGCACGGGGGCGGGGTGGTCGGCTCGCAGGGGGCAAGCGGCGGCTTTCCAGGGGCTCCAGGGGCTCCGGGGGCACCGGGGCGACCAGGCTGAAATTTAATTTAGGGATATAGTTTTAGAAATTATTTTAAAGGGTTTGTGAAGTGACCTAAGGGTCGAGGGTTCAATTCCTTCCGGGGTCAAAGTTTTACTTTTTGCTTTCCGAGCATTTTTTGCCTTTTTTAGAGCTCGTGCTCACCTTTCCAGGGCGTCCAGGGGCTCCCTGAGCTCCGGGCGGGCCGGGCAAGCAGCACCCATCGCAGGTGAACTCGGGCTCGGGGTTGACAACGGGGGCACCGTATCCGCCGGCCTGGCGGGTGGTCCTGTTGCGGTGGACCACGGCGGCGTGCTTCATCTGGTTGACCTCGTCGAAGATGTCGCGGGCGGAGCCCTAGAATTTACGCATTGTAAAGGGTTCATGCACAGCTCGAAATGGGCTTTTAAAAGGGTTTTTAACCGATTGTGTCATGTAATTCATTGCTCTCGAACTTAACGAACTTGATGACTCTTAAGGGCAGCACGAAACGCCTCGAATTGGAGTTTAAAGGGAGCGCAACAGCTAGAAGTATCGGTGTTCTGGGGGAGTGACCCCGTGAAAATCGTGTTTTTCGATGCATTACAACATGAAATTCGGCCGCTACGAATTATACGTAAACCCACAAGCGCATTAGCCAACAAACGGGAGCGCGATAGCTAAGGAATGGACTTTTAAACGGAGTGGCATATTTAGCAATCTTGTCATTTTTTGACTGATTGCGATATGAAATTTATGAAATACAAAGTACGAAGTACAACAAAATCTGTAGCTGCTCACCTTGCAGAACTGGAGCTCGTGCTGCATCTGCCGGCGTACATGGGCAACGTAGTTGTACACCTGAAAATATATGGCATTTTTGGATTTTCGTCAACTTTAAAATGGCGTAATCGGTTGTATTTTTTAGCTTAGCTGTTTAGCTTTTTAGCCTTTATCGATTCGAAGCGTAGAAAAAGTGTTAACAATTAATTTTTGTTTTTTTAGTTACCGTACCCTGACGAAATCCTATTTTTTTCGAACTTTTTGGAATTTTTGTAGTTTAGAGGGGTGAACAAACAAAAATAGGTTAGCAAGGTAAAAATGACAAGTTATGGAAAAATTACCGTAACTTTTTCTACCGTATTCCATTTCAGTTTAAATTAATTCCTTCGAAAATTATCGTAAAATTTGAATTTTAAAACAGTAGATCTGGCACTGTATCTGGCAGACGGCTAAGCCGTTAAATACGTTAAAAACAAAAATGACAAATCGTAGAGACAATGCATTTTCCTACCGTACCCCGGGCGAAAAAAACGATTTTTTTTCAAAAATTAACGTCATTTTGAGTTTAAAAATCGTAAACTGGTTTTTCTGGCAGATAATTAAACAAAAAATTATTTAAAAAGTTAAAAATGACAGTTAAACCAAAGCTACCGTACCATGGGCAGGGTGCAGACGACGGAGAGAAGGGCGACGACGGCGAAGCTGACCGCCGTGTACGCGACAAATTTGTAGGCCTTGGTACGGCCCTCGGAGGACTCCATTTTGAGATGAGAGATGGCTGAGAGCAACTCTCAATCCCTTCTCGCGCCCTTAAATAGCCCCAGGGTATAGGGAGGCCGAGGGGGGCGGAGTCTGAGCATTAGGAGGGGAGCAGCAAGGGATACCCCTCACGATATAGCCGCCCTGACATGGGATATACGTAGAATAATAGAGAGACGTGGAGGAGAGGAAAGTACGTTATGCTAAAGAGCCGTTGAAGGCAATTATTCTACTCTTTCCATAGTTTCTCGAGATAAGTTAGACCTTTCGATTTTGTAGTCTGTAGTGTCGAGCCCTGGTTGCCATTTTGTGGGGGGTGAGGGGAATTTTTTTTTTTTTGTTGGGGGGGGGGGGGGTTTTTTTTTTGGTTAGCTTTGGAAGCGTTTAAAGGGCCGTTCAAGGCAAATTTTGAAGAATCTGTAGCTTGTAGTGTATTATCGTGAAATCCCGCGCCAGTTTGTAGCCTGTAATCTGTAGGCTCCGACCCTGGTTGTCGGTTTGCAAGCGCAGGTTGACTTTTAAAGGGCCATTGAAGGCAAATTTTTGAGAATTATGTAGCTTGTATTTTGTGGCGTTTGCTTTGTAGTTTGTAGTCTGATTTCATCTGGAGCTCGCTTTTCTGTTTACTGGTCGTTTACTTAATAGCAATTTTCAGCTTCCACTCTCTGGCTTGTTAGCACCCCGTAGCGTATCGTACCGATGGATGAAATTTGTAGTCTGTAGGGGGCTCACAGTAGCATTTCTCGCTTTCAGGAAGCTTTTAAAGGGCGGTTGTAAGCTATCCGGAAGCGAGCAAGGTTTTTAGAGGATGTAGTTTGTAGTTCCGGCACTCTAGATTTTTAGAACGTAGCGAAAAACGGGAACATTTTGTAGCTTGTAAATCAGACCGAAAATTTAGCGTTTCAAAGGGTTTGCTATTTTTTAAAGAGCTTGTTAAAGTGGTTTTCTAGACGCTGGTTTGATTTTCGATCGCGTCAAATTTTTCTATCTTTCTCTCTCTCTGTCTCTCTCTCCCTCTCTCTGTCACGATCCCTTTATAACCATATCAATGAGGGTTGGGGTGCCCGATCTGATCGCGTGAATATCCCTGCGCCTCCCACTGCCCGGCCCCTCATATTTGAAATCCGGCTTGGCTGCTGGCATAGGCACATAGCTGAAGCCAGCGAGAGAAAGAGAGAGAAAGAGACAAGGAAGAGACAGAGAGACATAGAGCGATATGAATTTACGAAGCTCTGCTCGTTGATTAGGAACCTGCTTTGCCTTTCCCCTAACCAATTCGAGGCCCGCAACCAAGATAGAACTCTGCGTTTTTCGAAGCAAGGGGGATCGAAAATTGGAAATTTTCAGGGGGTAGTACTGGCGAATTTTTAACGGAATACTTTTAACGTGGGCTAATTGAGAGCTATTTTCTACAAACATCCGGAAAAATCGGTACTTTTTAGCATTTTTGAGAGGGGGCAATTTCGTGGCCTAACCGGTTGTCCGAGCTGTAGTTTGTAACGTATTTGTTCAGTTTAAAAAGCCTAAATAGTTGAAAATTGTTTTGGAATTTTGGCATATTTAGATGACTTTATGGCAACTTATAGGGGATTGGCTATCATTCTTCGGGGTATTTCCTGCAGCGCTAATGTGCGTTTCGAGGAAAAGCGTCTCTTTAGAGTCCGCTAGGCCGCCCGGGTTGTTTCCGCAGATGGATTGTCTATCAATCCGCCGTCTACTAGGGTGGTCGAGTAGAAAAACGAGTTCTGAGAGGATTTTTAGTGTCATATGCCCCGAGGCATTACATAGGGCATTTGACGGGGCAGGCTAGCAGGGATCCTTGAGGAAATGGTTAAAGAAATGTAAACACAACAGAGATTACTGTGTTTCTGAGACTACAACTAAGTTCACTCTACGAGGTTTCAGAAATTTCTTGAACGCTGCACTCTAAAAAATTCCGCTACGTTCCGCTTTACGGTTATCGTACTCTGACGAAAAGTTGTGGAACTTCAGAAATCTTCGGTTTACAGAATCTGACCTAGCTACTGTAGCTGCCAGCTGTCAGCCTGCGTATAAATAGGCCTCATTAGAAATTCCGCACACATCCTCTTTACGGTTACCGTACCCCAGTGGAAAGTTGCGGAATACAGAGAAGCTACCGGGTTTTTTGGACTTCTACCGTACTCCCTGACCATCAGCCTACAATATTAACACTTTACAAGCGAAAATTCCGCCTAAATCCTATCCACATCTACCGTATCCGTCCCAGAGTCCGGCTCTCTCCCGATCTGGCGCTGAGCACCAGGGAGCGCGTATTTCGTTGAAAGAGCTCGTGCTCCCCGAAAGGGTGCACCCCGCCCGCGCATCCTGCCCATTAATAATTTAGCGTTGGTGGGCGAGAGAGAGGCGAGAGAGAGGGAGAGAGAGATGGGATCTGACCCGTTCTCGCCACCTTATCTGCCCCCCGTCCGAGGGCTATCTGGTGCACCATTTTCATCCCTCACCCCCAACGAGCACCAGATACATCCCCACACACGCAACGCAACGCGAATGCTGGGGATTTTCTCCTAAGAAGTGGGTGAATTGGAAAGGGACGTTAAAGACGTTGGGGTGCTTTTGCATTATCGGGGGGGGGTGTATTATCTGCTAACAATTGTAAGATGAGAAATTTTCGTAACAAGTCGGCCGTTTTTATCCAATTTTTTGTCAAATGAATGTTTTTTCTCGTCAATGTTTTTCGAAAAATGGGAAACTGAGAAAAAAGCTAGCCTCCCCCCCGATAATGCGAAAGCACCAACTTTGAGATCCCCAGTATGACTGGTACTCAACAATTAAGTTGGCTGCTGTAGTTTGTAGGCTGATGGTCGGAAAGCCGAATGTGAGATTTTTAAGGGCCCAGCTACTGGGAGAATCGAGCTAAAACTTGGCTTACAGGTAGTTTGTAGCCCGGCGTTTAGCAGCGAGATTTTTTGAATATCCCAGCCACTTAAAAACCTTGCAAGGCCTCGTGAAAGCAGATATTAGTTTTTATTTGTAGACTGGCTCTTCTCGACGTTGACAAATTGGGTTTAGACGGGACGTCTAGAGGTGTGCTGTAGTTTGGCCGCCTCCAAAAGCGCAATTTTCTGAGTTTTGAAGAAATTTTCGCGTGATTTTTTTTGCCGAGCGGTTTCGACTGTTCTAATAGGTTTTAATAGGTTAATTTTCACGATTTTTGAGGCATTACCCATTTTTGTAGTCGGTAGCCTTGGCCGCGCGTTTTGTCTGAATTTTGCCAAAAGTTTTGTGCGTCTTTTTCGGAGGCGACGACTTCTGTATTCTGCGAAATTCGACAAATTGGCATCTAGCCAAACCGTCTCGAGTTGTCATTCGTAGCCGATTTTTGTAGTCTGTAGTCTCCGTGCCAGCTCTTTATTTTGCATTTTAAGAGCAATGCGAATTTTTGTAGTCTGTAGCCAAAGCAGCAACCATTTATCCATCATCTCCAATCACACACGCAATACACCGAGCCAAATCCGTTAAGTTTAATCCATTCCGGGGGCGGGCTTAAAGGTGCAGCGACGGGTGCTCAGAGGTCGCTCTGCTCGCGGTAGGAGATGAGCTCGGTCGAGTGGTGGGCCACGATCACTTTCCCGCCATGGGGCACCCACGCCACCACATCGTCTTGGAGCACGACCTGAAAATGAGGGGGCTGAGTCGATTACGCTAGGAAAATCCGTTTTATAAACCGGTTACGAGATGAAAATTGGGTTTAGGAACAGATTACGGTACGTAAATCGGGGCTTAAAGGGAGTGTCACGCTCAGAGTTTACCTAGAAACTGGCCAATTAATAATAGATTTTATCGATTACGATAGGAAAATCGAAATTTTCAAACCGATTACGACATCAAAATTGGAGCTTCAAGGATTTAGGTTGCAAATTAGTGGGTTTCATAGCTTATCAAGTAGCTAAACCGATCACGCTAGGAAAATCCAGTTCCGTAATTGATCACGTTGATTACGCGAGACAGCCCTGATTTAGCTTATAAACTGCGGGATCTCATAGGTTTTCATCGAGTTTTGGCCGATTACTTCATGTAAATCGCGTTGACCAAATGTTTACGACATCAAACTCGATTCAAAGGGGAGGGTGACAGTTGTGATAAGCTAAAAACTTGCGGATTTCATTTATTTTTGTCTGCTTATCCGGTTACGACACGAAAATCTATCCTAAAAGTTCCCTGCTAGCTCGCCGCCCGGCTCACCTGAATATTCTCCCCAAAACGGCGCACATCAGCGGCGTAGAGGCAGAGGATGCCGACCTGGGGGCGCTGCTCGGCCGTGCTGTTCTCGGTGAGCTAGAAAATCGCGGATTTGTAGCTTGTAGCCTGTAGTTTGATGCCCAGAAAGGCCAAAAATCGATAGTTTAGCGGTCAGGGGTTCGATCCCCTCCAAGGTCATAAAGTTTTGCTTTTTGATTTTTGCTCCTAGCTATGAGCTCCCACCTCCATGGTGCCGGTGACGTCGACGGTGCAGTGGTGCGTGTGGTAGATTTTGCAGTTTTCACCCTGGAAATTGAGAATTTTCTGTTTCTCTCTCGTTCTCTCGCTCTCTCTCTCTCTATCTCACCTCCACAACCACCTCGACCCACGGCGGCACGAGAATCGGGATTTTTGAGTTGACGATCGCCTAAAAACGCCGAAAATCGATATCCAACAATCGCTTACGATGGTTATGTCCGTAATTGTCGTGAAGAGGCGGTGGTTGAAGCCGCAATTCACCTGAAACGGGGCAGGTTAGCAGTGATCCTTGGGGAATCGACATTTTTTGACGTAGATTGGGCTTTTCGGGTCATCTAACAGAGATTTTTTTGAGGAATCCGGGCTAAACCCATTTTCTAGACGAGCTAGGAGGCAATTTCGAGAGAATTCTAGACGTTAAAAGGCAAGCTAGCAGAGAGCCTTGGGGAATACCTGAATATCATAAAGATAGTCCTCGTCATCGGCCGGCGGTGCCGCCAAATCGTGCCCATTAATGCGCCGCACGCCCTCGAACGGAGGGATGTAGTAGACGAGGATTGGGCCGTGGCACAACACCTTTAAAATGAAGCGTGACACTGGTTTAGGCTTGGCTTAGGCTTCGGCTTGCGTAGCTTAGGCTTAGCTTAGGCTTAGGCTTAGGCTTGGCTTGGGCGTGGCCTAGGCTTGGGCGTTGCCTAGGCTTAGGATTGGGCTTGACTTAGGTTTAAGCTTAAGCTTAGGCTACGCTACCTCTCGACTATGCGGTGTCAATTGTGGGTACAGCTCCTCGTCGCAATCCAGCTTACTGTAGCGCGGCATCGCCGAGGAATACCGTAGTTTTTGGGTTTTTTCACTTCAGATTCTTGGTTTTATGCTAATTTTTAAGTAAAAAGTAGTTTTATGCTAATTTCTGGAGGCAGGCAAGCAAGCAGAGAGTCGTGAGAATTATGTATCTTTTGCAACAGGCAACCTAGCAGTGTTTCTTGCAGATTTCGGCCGAAAGGCAGGCTAGCAGAGATTTTTGTGGAATCACAAAATAAATACAATTTATTCGGTTCGATATTCGATATTTCATCCAATATTCGATGCCCACATCTTCAGCCCAGACACTATTTTGTGTATGGTGCCCTCTTTCACCTCCGTCGCGTTGAAAACGCCATCGCAACCCGATTTACCGTATGACGTTACCTAAAATGCTACCATGCTTTAGAATTTGATTTTTCCGATTTTGTTGAATATTTAGAAGGCAAAAAAACCCGATTACGCTAGCTGATTTTCGACTTTTCTTTCGTTTTCTCAGGCTCGTTTTGGACGCTTGGGATCACCTAAATGGGGGGTTGCTTATACTTCCGAAAATCCGATTCCCGAAAATTGGTTTCCCGAAACTCGGAGTCCCGAAAAATCTGACTCCCGAAAATCTGAGTCCCGAAAATTTGGCTACTGGTTTTTAGGCTTCCGGCTCCATAAAAAACCCAAATCTCTGCGGGTATTTTCGGGACTTAGATTTTCGGGAGTCGGAGTTTTCGGGACTCCGATTTTCGGGACTCAGATTTTCGGGAGTCAGATTTTTCGGGACTCAGATTTTCGGGGCTCCGAGTTTCGGGAAACCAATTTTAGGGAATCCCATGCTCGGGAGTTTCATCGGAAATCCCTAAATGGCTACTGTAGTCAGTCTTGATCCCCCGCATTCTAAAGGGGCCGCGAAGTCGGGTAGCTGGTTGTTGTAACTCGGGTTTTTTATTTTTTTGTGTTTTATAAACCGAAATTTAGCAATTTTCTTTCTATTTTTGTGCGTTTTACAGGTATTTAAAAGACAAATTAATTTTAGTCTTTAGTATAGTATCTCTAGTTATTTTAGTCTTTTTCATACCCTAAAATAACCGGGAAATGATAGTAGATTACGGCACGCACCTTGACGCCAAAATAATTCCTGTGATCCCAGACATAATCCGAGGTATCGCCTAGATTGAATGACAGCTTATCCGAGCATTGCATATCTTCATTTTTGGGTAATCCCGTGCATTCCAGATACGTACACCCCGGATCCATACAGTCTGGGTACCTAAACGGCAGTTTTTAGAAAAGGTAGGCTAGCAGAGACTCTTGAGGAAGTACTAGACATCCAGTTTTTGCTTTGAAAATAAGGGAGCTAGCAGAGAAATTGGGGGAGCTCAGCCGAAACTACGAGGCGTGCTAGCAGAGATTATTGAGGAATTTCGGTTTTACTCGTACCAGAAAGGAATTATCGATTGGGCAGGCTAGCCGGGGTTTTGAGGGATTCGCTGAATTTCGCTGGATTCGCATTTTTGCTTTTTAAATAACGTAATCAAATAACAAGGCTAGCCGAGAAAATTGAGGAAATCGTTTTGCAACTGCCAGGCTAGCAGTGATTTTTGGGGAATTTTAGATTTTCAGACGCGATTTTTATAGCGTAATCGGTTGTTAGAGTGAGGTCGGCCGCTCTAGCAGAGATTCCTAAGGAATTTCCCACTGGAAGCTGGGATTTTGGCAGCGTAATCGGTCGATTCCATGCCAAAATGATAAGTTCTTGATTGGGCAAGCTAGCAAAGACCATTTAGGAATTTTCGGGTTTAGTTAGCGTAATCGCCTACCATATCTCGGTGCCGTGATGGTAGGCGGCGGTTCCCTCGTAGTCATCGCACGGATGAACGTCTTCTTCCCCTAAAATTGTCGTGTTTTAGCCCTTGCTGTTTATTCGAGCTTCCTTATTCCACAAATTAAAGGGACATGCAAGGCAAAATTTGGCAACAAATCAAAAAATTTAGCGTTTCCGTTGACCTACCACATATCCAACCCCATAAGCGCTCAAATATCGATCGCTCTAAAAATTTCGATCTGGCAGGCTAGCAGGGATTATTGAGGAAATCGGGTCAACCAGGCAAGGGCAGGCTAGCAAATATCCTTGCCGAATTAAGGGGATGGAAACGGCAGGCTAGCAGGGATTATTGGGGAAATCAGGTCAATGGGAGAAGGGAAGGCCAGGGATTTTGAGGAAACACGCCGTTTTTTTCTCGGGGACAAGCTAGCAGAGATTCTTAGACTTACTTAGCCTCGTATCGCTGAAATCCTTCCTGCAAGCCGGCATATGGGGGACGATGTCGCGGCGGAAGACGACCCGATACCTAAAATCTTTGGATTTGGATGTTTTCAGGCCACTTTTCGTGTCATTTTGCCCAGAGCGAGCGCGTCTGACGGTGATTTTCTGAATCTACGCATAAAACTACATAGGAAAACTCTTGAGAATGATTTTTGTAAGATTAGAATATTTTTGAAAAGCGACTTTTTGCGTTATTTCGCCCTGCTGACTATGATTTTCTGAATATACGCTCAAAACTACGTCGGAATACGCTGTGCAATAATTTTTGCAACATTAGAATATTTTTAATTGACGAAAAACTTAAAAAAACTCACGCATTTGGCACGATGGCGTCGAAATTCTTTGCAAACTTTCCGGATCCGACTCGTGGTTCGCCAAAGGTGATCAGACGGATTTGACCGCTTTGTCGAAGGCCTGAATCAATTAACTTAAGCGGACATTTAAAATGATTTCATAGCGTAATCAAATCGAGATTATCATGACGTAATGCATCAGATTGTAGAATTGGCTTCACTAGCCCTTTAAAACCGATTTTCGTAGCTTTATCAGATAGGGAATTTCATAGCGTAACGTATTATCGATTTTCTTCGTGAATTTTGGCCCCCTAAAAATTGATTTTTATAGCGTAATCGGATCAGAAATTCCATATCGTATCGTATTATCTTATTTTTCGTGAATATTGTCTTCCCTGTCCCTTTAAAGGTTTTTTCGAGGCGTAATCGGATCAGGGATTTCATGCCTAACGTATTATCGTTTTCCCCCTAGATTTTGACGTTCCTGACCATTTAAGGCTAATTTTGCATAACGCAATCAGATCGGAAATTTCATAGCGTCACGTGTTATCGTTTTTCGTAAATTGTAACTTACCTGCCCCTTTAAAAAAACATTCCTTTTTCCAAACGTAATCGGATCACGAATATCATTACGTAATGTGCTAAAGTTTTTTCATACCTTGATTAACAATTCTGGCGGCCGCCAGCGCAGCCAGTGCTCCTCCCAGGGAATGGCCGGTTACGGTAACGGCGTAGTGCTAAATAGCGCGATTTTTCAAGGTTTAAAGGGCCATTGAAGGCATACCTGATATCGCGGGTCCCTCAAAACTCGATCAACGGGTGGCCAAAGGACTTGGTGGGCATGTAGAAAATATTTGTTCACCTGGAATTGGGTGGTAACGTAATTTTTGAGCTGTTTCTCTCGCTCTCTCTCTCTCTCTATCTCTCTCGCAAAAATCCACTAACATCTCCCATGTCGAAAAAGGGGGCGCCGTCGCTGTGCGAGGCCCAGCCCTCCAGTAGAAGCTGCGTTTTCGTCTTGGTACCTGAAAAATTGGGCTCACTGTAGCTCTAACTTTTAGTGTTTTTTTTTGCTGCTGCCACTGTCCCTTTAAAAGCCTAGCTCTATCTTTATCTCTCTCTCTCTCTCTCTCTCTCTCTCTCTCTTTCTCTCTCTCTTTACCCGATACCTCTAAATACGAGTACAAGATGTTGCAACCGATCCGATTTGACGACATATCCAGAACATAAGCTGGAGACGATATCACATTCCTCTCCAATATTCTCGAGCAACACTCGAGCCTCGTGTGGGGGGAATGTTCTAAAAATTGGGGGTAGCTGGGGAGCTAGCAGCGATCCTTTGCGGAAATCGATCGCTCATGGGTAGCTAGCGGAATCGCTTTGCGGAATTCCCCCACTCACCTATTGACACACTCATATGGCGAATCGGCGTACGCCCCGGCGGCCAAATTGAGCAATAGCCACGCCTCTTGCTCATCGTATCCGGTTTTCCGGAAACGCGGAAGGGCAAATACGGTAGTACATAGTAGAACTATTGACGCCAGTACCCATCGAAGAATCATCTTGGAAAATAGTTTTAAAGGGAGTGTGACACAGCTCGAAATGTCACTTTTTAGGGAACAAGACAGCTAAGAAAGCCTCAATTTTTGGCGCTAAAAAGGAAAGGGAAGTGTCAAAAAATTGATGCTGATTATCGGGGGCGACGATTTGCTGAAATGAGGCCAGATTTCCGTGTTTGGGGAGCGGATCCCGGAAGGGAGGAGAGGGAGAGCGAGCACTATCTCTCTCTCTCTCTCTCTCTCTCTCTCTCTCTCTCTCGCTCTCTCGTCATTTGGCCAATGTACTGCGTCGACGATTTGTGATGGTGAGCCGGATCGTTGAGCCGCCGACAATTTTTTGTCAGCAAAATGGGAATACGGCAAGGGCAGGCTAGCAGAGAACATTTAGGAAATTAGATTACGCCCTTAAAATCGACAAACCAGATAGCAGAAAATTTTTTGGGGCAACTTTTGTCGATTTTTTGCATGCTAGCAGCGCTTTTTGCGGAATTTTTGGATGGGGCAAGCGAGCAGAGACAATTTGAGGGCAAAATCAATTCATGGTAGGCTAGCAGAGATCTTTGGAGAATCACAAAACTGTTTAACTTTTTTGGGGTGGCGAAAATCCAAAAATCACTCACCCAAAGAGGGAGTCACAGCTGTTGAGCGCGAGTTTTCCGAACGATCCGGACTGTTGGGGGAAAGGGGGAAGGGAGCGATTAACGCTTACGAAAATTGACCATCGAGAGGGAGAGAGAGAGCGAGAGAGAGTGAGTGAGAGAGAGAAAACGAAAAAGACAGAAATACCCCCCGGATTTGCATGATGAATCATGGGTTTGTCGTTGTGAAAGTAAACTTTAGGTCACTTTTGAAACCGGAAACTGCCATTTCGAATTTTTTTGGAGTCTGGGCATGCTAGCAGAGATGCTGTAGGAGCCGTTTTTGTAATTTGTAGCCTGTAGTTGCACCCAAGCTAGCAAAGATATTCCCTCCATTTTTTGTAGTCTGTAGTCTGTAGCTTGAGCGTTTTTGGACTTGTAGTTTGGCTCCAACAAGGCGATTTTGCTGTTTTTTGGAGTATGTAGTTTGTGCTCTCCAAGCTATCCGGAGGCAATCTAGCAGAGATTCTTTGCGTTTTGTGGTCTGGATTGTCGTTTTGGTTCTGTAGTCTGTATTTGTAGTTTACAGTTTATAATAAATCCCGCAAATCTGGTAGACTACAAAGAACAGCCCGTATCAAATATTTATTCATTCTCTCATGCTCCTTTTTATTCCTCATTGAAATGGGTCTCGACCTTGTCGAGCCCGAGCTCCCTCTTCGTAATTTTCCGCATCTCGAATTTCTGCACTTTTCCAGTGGCCGTCAACGGGAAGTCGGCCTCGGTTTTGAAGAGGATGTAGCGCGGGATACTGTGGCGGGCCATCTAAATGTAGTTTGTAGTTTGTAGTCTATTATTTAAATTTTTAGCAGGGGCAGGCTAGCATAGAACCCATAGGATTCCGAGTTTTCCTTCAAAATTTAGGAAGTTCAGGGATTTTTAAGGAATTTTGACGTTTTTGAGGCGTTTTCGAGCTGGGCAGGCTAGCAGAGATCCTTTAGGAAATTTTAATTTAGTACCGAAATCACCGGGCAGCCTTTAAAAACATTTGCTAATTTTCCAGGCAGGCTAGCGGTGATTTTTGAGGAATTTTCGAATTCGCCCACCTTATCCTTGCAGTACTCCTTCAACTCGTCGGCCGTCAACTTCTTACCGGTCTGCAGCCTCACCCACGCGCACACCTCTTCGCCAAGACGCGCGTCTGGCACGCCGATCACCTAAAAATACGGGGTGTCGTTGTGCCTTTAAAATCTGGTGGTCTGCTAGTTGCCGCGTCTCTCTCTCTCTCTCTCTCTCTCTCTCTCTCTCCTCTCTACCCACATGAATATCAGCGATTGCCGGGTGTTTGAAGAGGCACGTCTCGATCTCGGTCGGGTACACGTTTTCGCCGCCTAAATCGGGTTTTTTGGTTTTAAAGGGAGAGTGACACCTCGAATAATCATATCCTTCAGCCGGCCGACAATCTGAACCCCGCCATCTGGTTGCATCACCGCGATATCGCTAAAAACCAAGTTTGACTCCATATTTTTTGTCTTCGTGGCTCTTAAAATCAGGAAAATTCGATTCTTCGTGACATTTTTTGCCTCCAATGGTCCTTTAAACGCTCATATTTCATGTCGTAACCGGTTTAAAGGCACGGTAACAGTTAACGCACCCAGTCCTGTACCATCCCTGCGCGCACACGGCCTCCTTCGTCTTTTCCGCGTCATTCCAATAGCCGCCGCTCATCACGTGAAAACCTCGCGTAACCAGTTCCCCACGAGAGCCACGTGGCACTGGGAGACGCGTCTGGGGACACACGACGGCTGTCTGAAAATGCCCGTATCGTAGCGGTAGCGTACTCTAACGTACTCCCGCGTACATTACCGTACAACGGTACCTCCGTACTTTAGCGTACACGACCGTATCCGTATCCTAGCGTAGCATCCCTACTTTTTTTCGTGCTTTTCGCATCCCTCATTTTTAACTTGGTGCTTTTTCATGCTTACCTATCGTCGCGTCGTAGCATACTCTAACAGACTCTTGCTTACTATGCTGTACTCTATCGTACGCTATCGTACTCTGCCGTACTCTGACGTAATCTACCGTACCCTGATACATTCTGCCGTTCTCTACGGTACTCTCTCGAACTCTACAGTACTCTTGCGTAGGCCAGAGTATCGTCTCGTACTGATGCATACTCTATCGTAATTTCGCGTACTCTCGCGTGCTATATTGAAGTTTAACGTAATGTCGCGCACTGCTTCGTACCTCACCGTATCGTAGCGTAATTCTGCGTACTCTATCCTAACAAACCCTAATCCCGCGTACCCTATAATACCCCAACTACCATACCTCGGTATGATCCAGCGGGTACCCAGAATTCCGGATTCGTTCCTGCGGCGTCTGCTCGAGTCTGGCAGCCGTAATCACCGGGCTCGTCTCCGTGCACCCGTACAGTACCATCAGTCTGTAGATGTTGTAGTTTGTAGTCTGTAGCCTGTAGTTTGTCTACCTGTGCAGCCCCATCTTGTCCAACATTCGCTCGAGCAGCGGTTTCGGGATTGGGGCGGCCGAGATATAGGCTGAATAGGGGTTTTTGTAGTCTGGAGTATGGACTACAAACTACAAATTATCTTTTTTGCTGGGTCGCTTGGGCTACAGACTAAAATTTTCGGGTACATAGGGCTACAAACTACAAATTGCGTTTTTGTCGCCTGAACTACGGCCTACAATTTTCGAGTACGTTAGACTACAAACTACAATTAGCCAGGCTACAAACTACGAGCACATACCCCCGCTAACCGACGAGACGTCGGTATTGGCGAACGTCTCGTGGTTGATCATGTCGATGAACATCGTAGGGGTGCCGTAGACGAACGTCGCCCTGAATGTGGGTTATAGACTACAAATCGAGCCCCGGGGGCTACAGACCACAAATTACAAAAATTGCGCTCATCTTAGCTTCGAAATCTACTAACTTTTCGCTCTGGATAGCTTTCAGCGCGGCGCCGGCGCTGAACGTCTCGCTGGGGAAGACGAGGGTCTAGAATAGGTTTTGTTAATTTTAGGAGTATCCTCAAGGCAAAGAATCTCTGCCAGTTGATCCGAATTTCCTCAAAGCATCTTTGCTAGCTTGCCTAATATTCCTAAAGATCTGCTAGCTTGCCCCGATTTCCCGAAAAATCTCTGTTTGCCCGCCTGTGTTCCTTAGACCTTCCTAGCTTGCCTACGTCCTCAAGCAGGTTTTCGAGGTGTTTCAATTCCCCAAAGGTCTCTGCAAGCCTGCCCCTTCCTCAAGAACTTTTGCTAGCTTGCCTGAGTTCCATAGGAATCACTGCTAGCTTGCCATTGGCAATAATAATTTTCTACAGTTTTTAGAGTTTTTCCTTTCCTTAAGGATCCCTGCTGGCCTGCCCCCTAAATAATCTCTGCCCGCTCACCTGCCGATGCACCATTCCATTCAGCAACCCGGCCACACAGCCAAACGTATGGTAGAGCGGGTTCGGCACGCAGATCACTTCTTTCTAAAAATTTTTGAGGATTATACGTTTCTTTCAAAGCTGAAAATGCTAGAAATCGATCCACTAACCGTTTTGTCAAATCCTGACTTCAACCCCAGCAGCCTGGCGTTGTTCAGCACGTTGAAGTGGGACAGGGTGACGGCTTTCGGGGAGCCGGTGGTGCCCTAAAATTGGCTTGGCTTGGCTTCGGCTTGGATTAGGCTTTATTAGGCTTGACTTAGGCTCAGGCTTAGGTTTAGCTTAGGCTCAGGCTTAGGCTTAGGCGTAGAACTTACGCTCGTAAACTGGATATTAAACGGCCGATCAAAGTGCGTGTTCTCGGCGATCTCCTCCAACTGTTTTTCCTGACTACTCCCCGCTCCTCCCGACAGCAGCTCCGCGTAGTTCCAGGCTCCGCTAAAAACTGGCTGATTTTTACACTTTCAGGCCACTTTTGGTGTTATTTTGCCCAGAGCGAGCGTTTCTCATTATGATTTTCTGAATCTACGCATAACAATACGCCGGAATACGCTTTAGAACAATTTTTTGTAAGGTTATAATATTTTTATACATCAAGAACTAACGTTCTCTTCTCTCTAGAACAGTGTTGACGCTTTCAGGCTACTTTTCGTGTTATTTTACCCACAGCGAACGCTTATGACTATGATTTTCTTATTCTACGCACAAAACTACGTCAGAATACGCTTAACAATAATTTTTCTAACATTAGAATTTTATTATAAAGCGCGAACTAGCTTTCACTTCCCTCTAGAGCAATCTTGGCGCTTTCAGGCCACTTTTCGTGTTTTTGCCCAGAGCAAGCGCTTTTCTCTATGATTTTCTCAATCTGCACACCAAACTACGCCGAAATACGCCTGAGAATAATTTTTGTTAAAGTAGAATATTTTTATAAAAATCGTTCTATAGTGGTCGAATTAGCATT